GCGTCCGGAGCCTGTGCTCCGCAACGGGAGAGGCCACAACAGTGAGAGGCCCGCGTACCGAAAAAAAAAAAAAAAAGTTTGTTAGTCAGCATTTATTTCTGCGAGACTTGAAGGTGCCCCATGATTCAGCGTGCAGTGTTTCCATAACTCATTTGACTGCGGAAAGTCCTCCTCAGCGCGGACAGCGTGGGAAAGTTCTCGGGCAGATGCTTATTCACTACTGAGCGGGCATGAGGCTGGCGTGGGCCGAGGAGAACAGAGCAGTGCAGGCACCTCAGAGGCACCGGCAAGCACGCGTGAAAGAGGACCCGTGCACCTGCCGGCGGACACAGAACCTACCTCGAGGTCAGAGTTGATGGAGGAGACCTGGGAGGAGCTACTGGAGGACACGCACGCCCGGATGACCTGAACCGGAGGGTACGAGGGGGGCTCCTGCAGGGACGTGGCTCCCGTGCTTGTCTGTCCATCTCCAGGCAGCCTGGTGGCACTGCAGCTCGCCTGCAAGGTGTGCGGGGAAGGGCAGGCAGGAGACTTGGTTGGCATCTTTGTTTTTTGCACTGTCAGAGCATCCACGTGCTTCAGCATTCAAAAGGCACGAAAGGACGCAGCCGCCTCCACCCTCCTCCTGCGGCCACTCAGCTCCTCCTCAGAGGCAGCCAGCCCTCCTCTGTGTGTCCTTCCCAATAGTCTGTGCACATGAGAGCAAATGCATGTACATGTTTCCCCCATTTCCACTAACGGTAGTACACTCTATATACTCTCTTATGCATCTTGCTTTATTTCACTTAACATCATGCCTTAGAAATAGTTTTATAGCAGCTTTTGTTTTTGGTAGCATTGTACAGATGTTCACAATCTATTTAAACCAGTCCCCTGCTGATGGACGTTTAGGATATTCCCAGTCTCTTGCTTTCACAATCAATCCTGGCTGCAGTAAATTATACCGTACATTAAAAATGTCAGGATATAAAGGATAAATTCTTAGAAGTGGAATTGCTGGATCAGAGGGTATGAGCGCTTGTAGTTTGGATAGCTCTTGCCAAAAGTGTGCTCCACAGAGGCTTAACCAATGCACCCGCCAGCAGCCTATGAGAGAGAGTTGGGAAGGGTTAAGGGAGGAAGAAACTTGTGAGATTACCTGTCTGTCTGTCTGTCCATCTATCTCAGAAGACAGCTTCCTCCCACAAGCCTCACAGGGGTTTCCCCAGAGATCCTCAAGGCTCCGGGCTGGGCTCAGAGCCGGGCAGTCATCCCACTGACACAGCACAGGGGGAATAACCCGCCTTCTGGACCAAATCTTCCACCAACTAACCATACGACCTCGGCAAAAAACATCCTCCTGAGTGGCAGTTTCCTAATCTATAGAAGGGGCTGGTAACCCCTGCCTCGCTTCCTTTGAACTGGTGTCACAGGGCTCAGGTTTAGTAAATGTCCTGGACACGTGAGAAGAACAGCTGCTCGTGCTGGTCCCCAAATCACACAGGGCTCCAGCCCTGGATGGGTCAAGGGCACAGTTCCCTGTGAGAGTCAGCTGGAAGGGAGGAAAGTCCACAAAGGAGACAAAGACAGCTTTCTGGGTGGGAGGGG